CTACATTTTCTTGGAATTGTTGTCATGACTTTTTCTAAACCTTATAACACAGAAATCATTCCCGCATTTACAATGATTAGAGAACGGACATACGCGTTGATCGTTGTTGATTGGATGTTCAAATTTCACAGTGTAAAACAAATTGTGAGTGAAGAAGAGGTTTTTTGTTAAAGATTTATAAAAGTTAATGAAAACGTCATGAAAGGTCAATAAGGATTGCACTTTAATTCTTGATAAAATGTGAATAACTAAAAGTGTTGATTATGATACATCACAAGTTCATACTATGGAGTTGTTACTATGGAGTTGTTACTATGGTGTTGTTACTATGGTGTTGTTACATTACATTATTATGGTGTTGTTACATTATGGCCAAGCTTTAGTTTTTATGCTTAAAGGAATATCTACTAGACGGAAATAAATTTCAGCATATTAATATACTCGAAATTCTGTCAATAAAGGTGTTTCATTATTCTAACTGTAAACAATTATACACAAGAAATACGAATAAAAATTAATTTCACCACATGATAAAGAACAATTTCATTTCCAGGAATTTTATAGTTTCAATATTTAAATGGTTTTGATTGTCCACTTTTGCACAAAGAAAATATTCGTTCGACCACCGTACTTGATTGATGATTCGTTAACTAGATTTTTCAAAACAATAAATTGTTTATTAATTTTGATCTATCCTTTGCTTTGAAATGAGCTACCATGGCGCAGTGGTTAGAGTTCTGGGTCAGAACTCAGAGGTCCGAGGTGCAACGCCGGCTCTAGCCCAACAGATCTCATTGATATGTAAGGAGGCGTTCCGGTTAAATGCTTTCCAGCGGTGCTCTGTGATAAAACCGTAAGGAATTTTGGGAGCACTTAAATAACTACAGAAAAAAAAAAAAAAAATGGAGTTGGCAATTTTTTATCTGTTGGAAAGTTTTTAAATTTATCAGAAAAAGGTTCAAGTTTATTTTAAAATATTCGTTTGTTTAAAACAAAGAATTATTTATGGTAATATCTGGTAATAAATGTTCAGCCGACTTTTTAACATCATCATAATAGTTTTTAACATCAACCAATCGGTTGAACAATGATATTTATCATAGCAAAACAACCTTTCAACAAATTCTCTTAAGGTGATTGGCCAGTGTCGGATCATCTAAATCGCGTATTTTAGAAACCAAATTATTATTATTTGTAATATTACCAAAAAAGTTTAGCTGAAGTCTTTTTTGCGTTTTTTTTTTTAAGTAGTAACTTTTTTTAAAATAATAACTTTTTTAAAAGTAGTAACAACTCCTATCATTATTTGTAACAACAGACCTCTTTTTTTTTCCAGAGTCAGTCTCCTGATAGCTCCCATATATCAGTGAATTTTTTTTTCTTCAAAAGTGTATCAACCTGGGTCTCAAAAGAACCATAACTTTATAGTGATTTCAAAATTTACAATCTTTTCTACTAAAACATTAAAAAAAAAATTGCAAACAATATGTCATTAAAAACGACCTTTTAAATTTTTAGTTAATAATTGTTGTTTTTTAACTAAAAATTGAAAATTTAAGCAATTCATTTTTATTAGAAAACATTATTATTTCTGAAATCTTTATGAAATTCTGGTTCTTTTGAGACACAGGTTGATAAACTGAAGAAAAACAATTTCAATGAATTATGGAAGCCAGTGTGTAATCAAGGGTCGTTGTGGGTGACAAAATTTTTTAGCACTAAAGACGACAAATACTTGTCGGATCAAGAATATACTTTTCTAGACAACTTTATAAGTGTTTGAGTATAATGACCAACCCGGTAATTTAACAAAACCTAAAAGTTTTTCAGTCGAATTATACACTGAAAAATATCTGATTATAATCTGATTATAATAGTATTTAGAACATCGGAAGCAATAGAAAAATATCTGCTAATTCATTGAGTAGTTCCTTTACTAAATTTGAAGCTAAAACGTTGCAGGTTATGGCTTATAAATGAGGAAAATTTTTTGCTTTTAAAAAAGAAAACACGCTAGCGCATTTAAACTCTCGGGTTCAAAAGTTACAAAATATTAAAATAGCTGTAAAACTTAACCATTGTAAGGTTAAATTGTATCACTAAATTATGTGACACAGTAAAACTTGCTAATAATTAAATTTAAATATTGAAGAAGACACTATAGTTATTTTTACGAAAAATTTGAGAATTTTTAAATCATCTTTTATTTTAAACGAGGACAGTCTGGAAAAAAAAAGAGAACGAATGATATGTAATAAAAGAAAATAATGAGATTAAAAAGAAAATAAAGTAAAGCATACTAATGATGTTGATTTCAGGACAAACCGGCACTGAAATTCGAATTTTAGGATAAAATTAATACATTTTTAAAATCAGGAAAAACTGCTCAAAACTGGTACAATCTTGATAAAATCAGGACATCTGGGCCATGGCCGCCGACAAGGGTTTCGAAGTGGAGGGGCACAACCGCCTATTTCTAAAAAAAGTCCTCCATATTTAGAAGTTTTTCTACAAAAAAAAAAAGTCCTTTATAAAAAAAGTGGGGGACACGTGCACATGTCAGGTGCACATGTAAGGGCACTACGTGCACATGTCACGTGCACATGTCAGGGCACGTGCTCTGACATGTGCACGTGACAATTTAAAAAAAAATCCTGGTGTCAGAGCAGGAGCCACAATTTTATAAAAATTTGAAGCCAGGGCCGGAGAAATACATTTTCCGGCTTCCCACCCCTGCTTTCAAGAAAGTATAGATTTGAATTTTGCTCATAAACATACATCTGAGATCTTGATAAAAAACAAACCAACAAAATCAAAGTATCAAAAGCAACATGTGTTATAAATCATAATGTAAGTTGTGAAATAAAACTTATATCAAATAAAAAAATTTTGTGCTTGCAACTACTTGTTTTAACTAAATTATTAAATGGTTTACAATCTTAAAAACCCTGGTTCTTAGCATAAGTGGTTTACAACCTCAAAAATCCTGGCTCTTAGCATAAATGGATTACAATCTCAAAAACCCTGGTTTTTACCATAAATGGTTTACAATCTCAAAAACCCTGGTTCTTAGCCCTAGGTTGTAAAATTAATACTGATTATATAAAATTTGTTACAGCCAAGAGCACATAGTTTGGAGTTTATTTTTAGTTGACGAAACAATACTTGAATTCTTCTTCCAAATGAAATTATTATTTAGATCATTTGAGCCATACCTTTTTTCTTAAAAGTTTTGTAATGCTATGCTTTTAAATAAAACTAGTTTTTATAAACAAATTTAAAGTTTTGTAAATGATGTCATTAAATTATAAATTATACAATTATAAAAAAATGATGTCATTAAATTAACAAGATTATAACATTCAGACTTGAAATATATTTTAAGTAAATACAGTGTTAAGAAAAAGCGTTTATAATGTCAAGAAAAAGAAAGAAGAAAAATTCTTTTGAACTTGGCAGCATGAACCTGCATTAGCATTTAAAGTTTAGATTCAATTAAAGAACTATTTTATAAAAAAAATTGCAAAATCTTTGTTAAATCTAAGCCTTTTTAAAGTTATTAATAAATTATTTTTTTTACAATTTTTTGAATTATAAGCCTATGAATTTATAAGATATTTTCATAATAAATAACTTTTTGACATATCCCTTGTTTCTGATGTTTAATATAAGTTACAAAAACGAATATTGAAAAACCTATCCCTCGTGTGCGGAACAACAAAGTATGTTGCATTTAAAAAAAAAAATGATTTTTTTATATTGCACTGTCATTATTTTGTTGCGTAAATAAGCCTTTTAGAATCGGCCTCTAAAATGTAACATACACGGCCGTGTAATATAGTAGACCATGGTGTTCTGATCAAAATCAAAATTGAAAATCATTTAAATTGTTAGAGTAACTCAAAAATGAGTATAATCTAAAATACATTAGTTTTTTAAGGAGTTTGTTATTGCTAGATAGAATTGAAATTGGCCTATAGTTAGTACATGAGAGTTTTGAGCTGTTTTTATTTACTGGAATGACACTAGATATTTCAAAATGTCAGGAAAAATCCCACTTAAGGAGGAGATATTAAGTAGGTTAGAAGAAATATGAGAAAATTCAGAATTAAAATCAATAAGAATTTTTGTGCTGTTAGGACCTATTGATTTTAGGTTTTAATTTAGATATAAGTGATGAGATTTCAGAATGGTTTGTTGCAGATATCAGAACTATGAAGATTTGGATGTTTAAGAATAAATTAATATAATACAACGGAAATAAAGTTTACATAAATTTTTTTAAATTATGCTTTTGTCTTTTTTAAAAAAAGTTTTGAATAAGGGGAAAGGTTAAAAGGGTAGGGTTATTTACCTTTTTACCCTTCAAAAGCGTAATTTAAAAAACTTTATGTAAAATTTATTTCCGTTATATTTTATTGGGGAAACAAAAAAAGAGAATTTTACAAAGAAGCATAGAACACCAAACTAATAGCATGAATGGCAATTGGCATGCTTTTAGAGCGACTGAATATTGCAAAGAATGTTCTGGGATATTCGATTGTCTGCACCCAAAAACGTTATCTATAAATGACAACTACTATAAAAAAGAAAACATGAAAAGTGAGTGGCGTGAAATTAATTATGCGCAATCATCTCATGTGGTTTAACAATCCCCGGTACTGCTGAAATGGAATAAAGGGGTAAAATTTGGTTCAAGTAGTTGGAGACCACTATTTAAGAAAATCATAAACAATTTTAATTAACGTAGTCTTTGTCACATTTTTTAATATTTTGTTTTGTAACGGTTTTTAAATTGGCATTTTACGTCTGATAACGGTCAATACAAATTAGACCAAAATCTTATCACATAGTAGAAAATTAGTTAGCAGCTGTTTTTGATGTTTTATAACTTATTATAACTTTATATACAACAAGAAATGTCGCTAAAACACTTAATTTCCGTTAAACATAAATACTTTCTATGTTGACTTCTACAATTTTTTCATTTAATTTTCTAGGTTGAAGAAAAATGAATACGAGCAAAGTAGTTCAAAGTGTTATTTCCACAGTGCTTTTGACGTCAGTAGTATTAAACACGACTGCCTGTTATATTATTTTAATTAAAGTGAAAAGAAAAGAGATAACGCATTTATTTGTTGTCAGCATTTCTATTACGAATTTATTAGAATCTACGATCGGATTAACACCAGAATTAGTAATGGCAGATGAACCTTTTTTGGAAAGAACTCCGTTATGCATTGTCAGCAGTTTTGCAGTTCTAGGTTTTGCTATAACCAACATAACTCATTTAACAATACTTTCTTTTATCAGAATTGTTGCCATAAAATACCCGAGGCGTTATTTACAATATCATAAAATGTTTTGGTGCAGAGTAACATCAATTTTAATATGTTATGCGTATGGTTTTTTTTGGGCAACACTTCCTATGATTGGTTGGTCAAAATATGAGCTAGATCTTGATAAGAAACGTTGTTCGTTAGATTGGAAATTGACAAAATTAAATTCTTATTCTTATATTTTAGCCATTTTAATCTGCTGCAACATTTTACCCGGAATAGTCATCGCGTTAACGTTGTATTTTAGCACAAAAGAAATCTGTTTCCGAAAAGCATGCAAATTACCTAAAAATACAAAAATTGATCTTTTAGAAAAAGAATATTTTCGAGTTTGTTTTTTATCAGCGGTTACTTATTTTTTTTTTCGGACATCTTACGCAATTGTTGGTGTTTTAACGTTGTTAAAAATTGCAATACCGACACATTTGGCAACAACCACCGTGCTGTTTTCAAACCTCTCTACCGTTTCTAATATTCTTATTAATTGTTACGCTGTAAAATCTTTTCAAAAACAACTGCTAAATTTAAGGGTAATTCAAATTTTGAAAACTTTTTTCCATGGATTACGTGATTGCAAAAAAAAATAAAAAAAAAAAATACCATTCTACCTATGCATATTAATAAAAATAAAAGAAGAAAATAATGACGCGTTTAATAAGCTTAAATTATAAAAATATTTTGACAAATCTACCATGATTTATTTATTTAATAGATTTTAAATTAAAAAAAAATGTTTTTAATGAAATTTGACTTGATTTGGCTCGTTAATCTTGTCTTATCGCTATAATGACAATGATATATATATATATACATACTATATATATATATATATATATATATATATATATATATATATATATATATATATATATATATATATATATATATATATATATATATATATATATATATATATATATATATATATATATATATATATATATATATATATATATATATATATATATATATATATATATATTGTATATATATATATATATATATATATATATATATATATATATATATATATATATATATATATATATATATATATATATATATATATATATATATATATGTATATATAAGCACACATGGCTCCAGAGTAATTAAAAAAGAAAAGATTATTTAAAGTTGAACACAACACAACGTAGTAACACAGGCAAATAACACCATACCTTAATAAAATATTTTATCCACTAAAATAGTTTGACTAAAAAATTTTTATTTATTACAATATTTGAACAATCGAGGGACAGTTATAGTTAAACTATTTAAACAATTATATCATAAAAATTTCAAGCAACTCGTAAAATATTTCCTATAAATGGTCATTACCAATTATTGTATTAAGAAATACGTAAGAGGTCAGTAATTAGATTAATTTTATTAATTTTTCCTCTCATCTAAGAGAGGGAGAGAAAGAATGTGTTTCCAAAGAAGCATGTTAAAAAAAGTAAAAAAACACGCAATAAATAATAGTAACTGGTTTTATTATGTTATCAGTAAACAGAATTAGTTTTACCTTGATTAAAATTTCAAGCATTTCTTAATTAAGCTCCAGCTTCTCCTGGAACTGTTGACTAATGATTAATAGAGTAAACTTCGCATCATTTTAAATTTACGAAACATATTACAACATATAACAAAAAGTTATAAATACTAAGTATAAAAAAAAGTTATAAATACTAAATATAAGTTACAAATAATACTTAAAAAATCACATGTTGAAAATTCATTAACTCGCGACTTATAGCGATTGCCGCTTTTAGTCCACTAAGTAACTGTTAAGCAAAACTTCCATGAACAGTGAAACTATCCCAGCGGGCATTTTGACGTCCTAAGAAGTCCATAAGACGTCTAATTCCTTGTTTATAAGACGTTCTTAGTTGGTCTCAAATGGAAGGCTTGTTGACGTCTAAAGACGTCTATTTAAGACGTCCTAGGGACGTCTTTTTAAGACGTCCTAGGGATATTTATTGCAGACGTCCTAGAGACGACTTTTCAGCCATACTATGGACGTCTCTGGCAGGAAAGACTTAAGGATGCCTTATTCAGACGTCCTAGAGACGTCCTAATTTTACCTAGACATTCTTTTAAAAGTTATATAAAAATGCAATGATATACTTTACACACCTTAGATTTGATTTAATCTAGG